TTCACTTAGTTGTCACTATATCCTGCATTTCAAGGATCAATGGGGCAGCCATTTTGTGCGTCATATTGTTTGCGCCACCATCATCATGGCTGAAGTTTGCCACCCACTAGTTAGGAGTAAGGATCTCCTTTAATAACGCTTGAGGGAACGATGGCTCAGGGAGCGAAAATCTAATTTGCCGAAAAAATGTTCACGAAGAATCAGCAGTGTTCATCAAATTCCAATTTAAGTTGGCTGTCCAGCGTAACCAGCTCCAGTATTTAGTAATTACGGGTACCGCAAGTCACCCGCTATCCTGCTAACGCTAACGCGCCTCTTTTTGAACCGTCCAGTCCACCAATAGTTGCCTCAGTAGCGTTTGTGTAACAGTGGGGACCCGTGTTGCTCTGGTCTTGTTCCGCCGAATTTCTCGACTAGTCCTACCCACTCTAATACCCATGATTGATCCCCCCATGGTTTCCATAAACGCTGTTATCAACAAACCAAAGTATGACGTCTCAAAGGCGGTACCTAGTGAAATGTATTTCCGGTGCCTTTAGATCGAGGGCTGTGTGCATACACTAGGTCGAACACCCACCGAGTTTTCGCCTAAAATCTTGGTCTCTGGGAATTCTGAGGCGTCGTAGGGACATTATGACCCTTTTCCTGTAGACGCCTCTTTCACGACGACCACTTGGCTCTGCGAAATGTAAACGGTTTTCTCACCCCAGTTAACCCGTAAAATGAGCGTCCACCCAAATAAAAAAGGCTAGTTTTCTCGTTTTCAAATTATCCTAGTCAGAGTGTAATAATACGATTATTCCCAACGGTAAGCCACCCTCCACGTGGGGATTAATTTATAGCTAACTTTGCCTATCACTATGTCTTAATTGTGATAATAGTGATCGATTTTCCTAGTTTTCCTGGCTTTTTGATAGGTTTCAGCAATAATTGATTATATCCCGGGCGAATGTGTCCCAGAATACCGTAGAAATAAGCATGCAAGTCACAGAAACCCATGTCAAACTTTGGCCACGGGTGGCTAGTGGCGACTGCCTGACGGAACGGTTGCCTGCAGGGTGTAAGGACAGTTGCAGACGGGGAGCGGAGCTTACCCTAAAGTGTTGATAACATTAGCTTATTATACAGTTCATTACGTACATGCACGTATATATTACGGTTCATTATGTAAACTTCTGAGTGCTTACATGAATGCAGAATGCATCGGAAGCAATTTGGACAATAACTAAATTTGGTGGGAAACCGCCTTTCTTCTTGCCATCTTTTCATCTTGAAGTTGTAACGTCAACTATTCCCGATCATATTGGCCTTGGATTATGTCCCTTGCGTTCTGTAGCCAAATGGCAATGGTCGGAGTTTTTGAAAAACAGCATCGGTCCTGTGCTCTAACCTTCGATCCATTGACCTTAATACGCGGTAAGACGCTTTTTAGGCAATTTTTCAGGTAGTGGCTGCGTGAAAAAACCTTCTTCAGACGGTATTACACGCTCCTAGAACCCAGTTCAAAGCACTAATTGACACTTACTTATGCAAGTCCTCGCTCCGGCAAAGTTACTACCCATTGCTGTGAGCTTAAAAAGCAGTGCTACACTCGTTTCACTGGTGCCATTGAGGTGAATGACAGCTGCTGAACGACAAGAACAAGGCCGACCCGGGAAACTTGAACAGAAGCCCCGATTTGGTGCATCAAGCAACACAGTATTTGAAGGCGCGAAGGTTATCATGCCGCGGATCCGTCGCCTCCGAGGGGACATAATCCTTACTTAAACCCTGTTTGAAAAAAGCTTGGCAAACAGGTTTTCTTTTCAAATGATGAATTAAAGGAGTGTTGTACCCTTTTGAAATATGGTGCTCCGCCATCGGAGATTCGGTAGTACGTCGCCGACCACTTTGGAAAGGTAACCACTATGAAAGATGTGCGTAACTATCGTGCCGAATGTCGACCACCATTGCTAAGTAGGTCGCTGGTTACCTTTTAGTCGGTTTCTTAGATGACATGTCATCCATCATAGCCAAGTATCGAGAGTGCGGTCGCGTGCTGCTGGTGGAATCGGAGGGTGGCAGATATAGTCATCTGTGCTTTTTTCGAACGCAGCAGATAGCACTCTTTAGACGTTTCCCGGACGTTGTAAACGTTGATGCTACACACGGTACTGACCGTCCTGGGTAAATAAATTTAGAGCCCCTGACGTTTGCTGTTAATGTACAAGCTTGGGTTGGGGTATCGGTCGACACGTCATGTACGCCTTTGTCGAAAGCGAGCGTTTTGCGCCATTGCGCAAGCTGTTCAGCTTGTTCAAGGATATGATGCTGGACACTACAAAGTCAAATCGTTCGTCATGGACAAGATAACTTTGCACATGCGGGCTGCCAAAGCTGTATTCGGCTGCGAGATAATGTCGTCCTATTTTCACGCACGGCAAGCCATCCGGAGGCATGTACGTTTCATCGCTTTGGTGTAACTTTTGCAGACAATTTTCAACGGCAGTCGGCACATATTCCACCGCATAGCTCGCTTTGATAATGCAGCTGAGTAAGTAACTGTGCACTAAACATTAATCGCGTAGATTTCGCCACGACTTGCGAATCCTGAGGAGAACAGATCCCAGTTTTGTCTCTTATTTGGCTGCCCACTGGCTCCACATCACTCGAAAGTGGGCCGTTCACGCACAACGTGGGTTGGTACATTTTCGGAATGTGACCAACAACCGCGTGTAGAACGCCAACGGGCGTTTGGAGAGGTGCGTGCATCACTCAGATAGCCTGGAGCATGCCGTCCAGAAGGTCGCTCATCACAGCGAATGGATAATGCGCGAGTATGAAGTGCACACCACTTATTATTGTGACCGCCGAGAAATTCGGGAGAGAAATATCTACGTTCTACGTGTGGTTTCCCGGATGACGATGTACGCCACTAATCACGTAATTTGAGACCTCATTTCTTAGCATACGCTTTGTGGACCTTACTTTCGAAACCGTGATGACGAGGAATTCATGTGATTGTAACTCGAAGGCCTCAAATGCTGAATCAATGAACCCATGGCAATCCGCAAAGACCATACATTTATCCTTCATCACGGTGATGGGAATTATGAACCACTAGGTAAGCAAACAAATAAAATTCCATTACATCCAGACGCTTAAATGTTTTTCCCGAAGATTAATTTCTCGCCCATTTTTCGTTTCAGAATCCTTGTCCCGTGAGACGGATCTTAAGAAAATGATAAATTGAGCGACTACCAATTAAGCCTGTATCAGTGATGCCAACGAACAAAATGCAATTTGCCAATGGTGTTTTCGTAAATTCATGACGGGCGCATTATCAACGCATGGAATTATGAGTATGGAGCGCCGTCGTTGGCCATTGTATTACGTTGGCGTGCATAGGCCTCATAATCTGCGTCGCGAATAGCAGTTACGCTAAGTGGTCGAGCTGAGCGACAGCTTATTGTTTCGGGTAATAGAGGGAGTGATCGAGGGGGTACAATCAAGAGTAGGAGTTGGGAGTGCGCCATCAAATTGGGTGGTGATTGCAGTTTGACAGGTGATGACAACCGTTGATCGTTGGGTTAGTCTATTATGTTTTGCCGGGGCATTATGGTTAGCTACGAGCATGTGTACGGGCCTGGCAGTTACTATAGGTAGCCACGGTAGGTTACATCGGCTATAGTTGTGATGTTTACTGAAGGTAGCAAACGCAAACGGCATCGAGTAAGTATGAGCATGACGATAAATAGCTAAGTTAGGTGACTTCGAGTACAGTTGTGAGTATAACAGGCTGTCAGATTAGGCTGTCACCCATAGTTGAGTCCTTGTTTTTACTGGTCGGCATATATATTGGATTGATGTTTACTGTAGGTAGCGAAGACAAGCGGCGTCGCGTATAGTATGAAAGACCGTCAGCTTTATACTAAGCGTTGCACATAGACTCAGGTGTTGGAATTACGATAAGCGGCCAAGGTAGGCGACGTCAACTGCAGTTACGAATCTGACGGGCAGCCGTTGGTCGTTAAGAGGTCACGCATAGTTGGAACCTGGTTTCTGTTGGCCCACATAGATACTGGCTTGTTTACTGTAGGTAGCAGGCAGGTGCGACAGTGAAGCTCGGTGTTTAACACTGATTTCATGCTCTCCATGATGACATAAGTAGCAGACATAAGCGAGAGCGCGCACATTTCTGGTCAGCCGAACAAAAATATCCCATTTGTTAAATCTGAGGTGTCTAAAGCAAACAAACGCCTGCGACCGATCCTATAGGGTGGCATTTGCATTAAATACTCTTAAGATGCTATTTTATTCTTTAGGAACACCGAAGAAAACCAAAATATGGTAAAGTGCGATTTCGTGTTTTATGCCACGTAAACCGGCAAAAAGTGCAAATCAGCGATGGTCAATGACCTCGACGTTTCGCTCACTCAAACAAAATGCTATGTGCAACATGTCACGGGAAGGTGCGAATTGACTAGACTAACTCCCCGTTAAAATAGCAACTTTGAAAACCCTATAGTTTCGGCGAACTCAATTTGGGTGTTTCAATATCCTGCGGCTGAGACATCGCCGCAGAAACAAGCCATCCGCGCTCTCCTTGAGGGACAGAAACGGCGAACCGACGAATGACCCAACAGTGGTATCTGAGGTTTACAGAGAACACTATGTGCGTCTATACACAGCCCCAGCGTCCTCGTCACATCCACTCCTGTCAAGGCGTAACTACAAACAACTTGTAACCGAATTGGTCTTCACGGTGGAGGGCATTCACCAACTCTTGCATCAGATCAACCCATTCTTCACGTCGGGGCCCGACGAGGTCCAAGGATCCTGAAAAAACGTCGTCTGCACTGGAAAATCATCTACACCTGGTGTTTCGTCAGTCGCTTGACGAAGGCCGCCTTCCCTCTGCTTGGAACGAAGCGATTGTCACACCAATCTACAAAACTGGTGACCGACTATCGCCGGGCAGCTATAGGCCCATAAGCCTCACCAGCGTGCCGTATGAGGTAATGGAACGCATTCTGAAGCGAGCCATCTTAGATCACCTTACTTCCAGCAATCTGATATCTCCAGCTCAACACGGATTTCTCCCAAACCGCTCCTGCCTGACAAACATGCTCGTGTTTATGGACAGCTTAACCCAAGCCAAGGATGAAGAGCTCATATCGGATGCCGTGTTTTTCGACTTCTCAAAAGCATTTTATAGAGTTCCACACGTCCCACTGTTCCACAAACTCGAGTCTTAAGGGATTCAAGGAAGACTCCTTCGCTGGATCAAGGCGTTCCTTTCAGACAGATCATTCCGAGTGAGAATAGGCTCGACCTACTCTTCTCCAGCGTCGGTCTCCATTGGAGTTCCTCAAGGCTCCGTCCTGGGACCACTCCTGTTTCTGATATACGTCAACGACCTCCTAGATGTCCTTGCAAGACCATGTCTACCTTTTCCGGACGACTTGAAATCCTGGAGTTCCAATGC